TGCTGAACTACCAGGAGGAAGACCAGTCTGCAGTTCTGGTTTAGAGCATGGCAAAGTTTATTCGTATTTGATACTGCTACCAGCTCATCGCAAGGCTGATGCGCAGCACGAACCCCCATGCTCTGAGGCACAGTCCTGCTCTGAGCTCGCACAAGAGCGTGGAGAAACCTGCTGCTGCTTCAGAGCAGGCATGTAATCTCCCCTAAACCCTGACTCAGCTTGTGGAGGTGTCCGTCACTCCTTTTTAGGGGCGCAGGTCTGCAGAGGCTGAGGTTAGCATTTGTAAATGCTGCCCTGTGACTGCAGTGGGTATCTTCTTCGGCTTCATGTTTTTATATGGCTTTGTTTGGCCTTTGATGCTCTTCAGGTGCAGATTTACACAGTCAAAGTCAGTCTCTGTTGTGGGAACGCGCTGCTTGCAGGGATGGGCAGTTCCCAACAGGTCACGCTTCTGCTTGGAAAACATGAATTCATGTTTTGGAAGAGCACCCTCGCTCTTCGCTTGGGGAGAAGGTGTCAGGGAGTCGTTGGTGTTGTCTAGGCAGAAGTTTGTCAGTGGCATAAATGAGTTTGAAGCTAGATTATGAGTCAACAGTAATTCCTTTCCCTCATTTCGCTTTCCATTTGACTGCAAGAACAATGAAATTAATGACAACAGGGAGGATTGTGCTCAGCACACATAGTAAACACAGCTCTTCAAAGGAAGTGATAAAGAATTATCATGTTTACTTACTGCACAGCAGTAAATATGTAGATGAGACAGTAGTATATGGTGAAACAAAATGCTAACTGCCTGAATTACTGTGTACCGTACTAAATATTAACACAATGCTAACTCAGCCGTGGAGCACAGCTTGTATGTTTTATTGTATGCATTAATACTAATAGAGAAAGCTTCTAGTTACTAAGGAAGATAAGAATAGAGGATGCCACGCATGTAATATGGCCGACTCAGCACTGCGAGAAGAAATTACCTTTGCAGTTTTTCATTTTGAGTTCACAACTTTATTTAGTGTTCTCGTAACATTTCTTTGCATTTAACTTTCTTGAGTCTGCTTTTGGGGGGGTTCATTTTTTGTGCTTGCTTGCTTGCTTGTTCCAATTGCGAAAGGGTTAAGAGTAGTCTGCAAGCTTCATTTATTTAAGCAGTAGAGTTTCTAACTCATTGAATCACAGATACAGAGCCAGGCTGCAGCAGCGCGAACCCTCATAAACCAAAAGTCTTGTGTACCTGAAACTCAGCTGTATCCCAGAAGTTGTGACTGAAGCTGCGTTTCACTGCGGCTTGTCACGTCCTCAGCTGTGCTACCTGATTAGCTCAGAACTAACGAGCTGAAATGGCTCATTGCACAGGTACCACCTGCTAGTCTCACTCGCTGGACTACTCAAACAAGCTCTACCCGCTTTCCAGATGGATCCCGTCAGCATCTTTTTTCTGGAATTAAATGGCCAGTTTCCAAAGCGGCGCAGCCCAGCAGACGTGAGCTGCTGTCCTGCTACAGCGATGCTTGGCTTTTGCAGGCAGTGAGCTCTTTTCCCCTCTATTATAGGGCCTATATAGAGTTGCAAAGTAATCTGGCAAGCTCTTAAGCCGAGAGATAAGCAGTGTGCTGAAGTTGCAAACCCACCAAAGTGGGCTGTGCTGCTGCCAAGTTTGAAATTTCTCCTCGCTTCGGATGCTGAGCTAGTCAAGGCCAAGTAACTCTTTCGTGGTGAATTACCTTGGTGCAGGTGCTGCGGCTGTGGGGATCTGGCAGCCAGCGTTGCCTTCTGGAGTCTGCTCTGAGGGAGCAGGTGGAGGTCTCTCAACGGGAGCACCTGCTTGGTCACCAGAGCATTCAAAATAGGGAGGGCCACGCAGGGGCCACCAAGCAGGAGGTCCTCCCCTTTCCTCAGGGAGGGGTCCAAAGCACAGAGTAGGTCTCAAACCGGTCCTGGGGGAGGTGAGAGACGAAAGGAAGCAAAGCCCACGTGGGGGATGGCGTTGTGGTTCGGTCAGCTGGTGACTGTGGCAGGCAGCCAACTTAGGCCTGTTTATGGGACCCGAAAATCTGAACCAGAAGGCCTGTTAATGGTCTTGTAAAACCTCATTTGCTTGAATTGACATGAAAATGTTTTGTCCTTGTCAGGTTCTTACAGAAAATAGGTTATCCTTTTTCCTTGAAAGCGAACAAAAGAGACATAAAGAGGCATCTGTCTTTAAAGAAAAAAAATATCTTTATTAGCCCTTTGAAGAAATTGGGATGGTTTTGATGTATAGCTTTGACTGTTTCCTTTGTTTGTTTTTGATTTTTGCCACAAGCAAAGTTGTTTGGAAATGTCAAATGAAGAGCTTCTTTTATTGCCTTTCATTTCCCTTTTGAGCTCTCCTAGTTCCACGCTGGCGTAGTCTTCCAAGCGAAGAATATCTGTGCATCTGTGTGCGCACAAACACACGTACACACACGCGTGCACATGCAAACAGAGCGAATGGGTTGTTACAGAAACATGTAGGCTTGCTATCTTTGTGACAGCAGGAGCGGTACACCTGCACGTTAGTAACTTCATCAATGCGTAGAGATTTTGGCAAGATGGCATAAAGTTCGCTTTGGGCTGGGACTACTGACATACATACGTTATTTCATTGGGAGCTTGAGTTGGGGAAAAAGGGTCTGTAAGCTGACGTGGTTAAGGATGTTCAGTCTCTACAAGTATATAATATGTATGCTTATTTAAGTGGTATAGCTAGGGTGTAGAGTCTTTCTTTCGCTGTATAAACATTGATTTATTTCCCCCCCACACACACACTCTTCCCCTCTTCTTTTCAAATTGTGGGGAAAACTGTCTCTTTTGGAGATAAAAATTTGCATTCCAGGCTTCAGGCCAAACTATTTTAACAGACAAGTTATATAGTCTCTAGAAAGTAGTTTTTTATGATGAAAACACTGATAGATCCTCCACTTTGGCAAGCTAAGAGGTCCATCTACCATAATAAAAGTAAATAAGAAGACATACTGGCACTGAAGAAAAAATTTATTTTTTTTAAGAGAGTCATAACTAACTGAGAATCAGTTAAAGTAATTACACTTATCTCTATCATCTGAATTTCTTAAATGTAACAATCCCAGTTAGGAAAAATAAACATTAGAAGAATGATTAGGTTGAATTTGTTCCTTTATAATGTTACAGCTCAGCTACAGTAATACCCACAGTAAAGCTGCTTTTCTGTTGCTATAGTTTCTGTACCGCTGGTTCCTTCTCCAGCACACGGATGATATAAACCAGATCAGATTCTCTCCTCCCAGGTGCAGAACTAGTCTGCCTGGCTAAAATATGTATTGTCAGAATGCATGGAATTCATTATAGAAGGTATGACAAATTTTAAGGTGATGGTTTTTCCTTTTTAATCCATTTGCTAATATTGAGGTAGAAGTATCTCTTTTTTTTTTTCTTTTAATGGCAAAGCATAGGTAAGACTATACCAGGCCAGGTTGTTCTGTTTAGTCTCAAAGTCCATGTACCTTTTAGTAACCTCTTGTTTTTCAAACAGCTGTTTGTGCTCCCTTCACTAGTACTTTTATCCTATTTATGTTTTAGAGCAACCCTCTCAACCAGAAATCCTACATCAAGCAGACTTCTTAGAAACAGAGAAGCTACAAATGGTAAGAGCAGCATTCTCCCTCAAAGTTGTGTGCCTGGCGGCTGCCTGAAGTCCTTTTACAGTCAAGACGGAGGGAGGTGATGGGTTGAGGCTCAGAGAGGGTGTGTGTGCGCACACCTGCCTGCGAGAGATGGTGGTCTATAGCCCGGCTGAGCACAGAGCAGTTCCCTTGCCACTGCTGTATTAGCCCTGCCTCTTTCTGCAAATAGGGGCCATCATGATCTTAGACTCATGCCCAAACCCTCTTCCAAATGGTACCTAAGCCTCACTGATGGGATTTGTCCTATTTAAAAAAAAAAAAAAAACAAATGGCTGGGGATAAGCATTTGAACTTTCCAGAAATCTTTACCCAGAGCAGCACAAGCGAAAACAGAATTATGTTAAACATAGTGGAGAAAAACGGTGAGTAATTCCTATCTGTCTTGCAGCTTGGGGAGTGTGTTGCAAGAGATAGTTATCCCGAAGGCAATGTTACGTGGTACAAAAACGGGAGAGTTCTGCAGCCAGTGGAAGAAGGTACGTTTCAGTAATGGGCAATGTCCTGAATCCACAGACAGGTGTATGCATGAAGAACTGCGCTTATAAGAGTTGCTCTGCTTTAATCTAATGTACCGTTCCTTTGAGGAAGACTACTCATATGGAAAGATGAAACTGGAAGGAGACTTCTAGGCCTTTCAGAGCACCCAAGCTAAGCCATATAATCTCTCTTTCAGTTCCACTTTTAAAACCACATCATGGGGCAAAGGGTTGCCTTTGTTAATGCTATTACAAAGCTAGTCTTGAGTTTCACACCTGTCCAATATTGTGTTTTGCGCCATGTAGATCATCATCTCCTTATACAGGTATTTATTTTCCAGGATATTTAGGAAGAACATTTTTTTTTTTATTATTCTCCCTTTCAACTTTGACAGGCTGATCAGACCACAATATTTTACCTTCCATAAAATAGAGAATGCTTACAAAATTAAGTTATAAATGTGATCCTAAAAGCTGGTTTTGCCAGCATTTTTGAGGCCTTCATTCTGTAACACCTGTTTGCAATTAGGTGTTTTGGGTTTTTTTTTTTATTTTATTTAAAATGTAAAGTATATTAGGAGTATGTTGTTGATAAAATGTTCCTGGTATGTCAGCGGCAATACTAGAGGAAAACTGTTTGTACAGTCTCTTGGGTAATTTGTCATGTTGCTTGCATTGTTGCAGCCTGATAACAAATACAGAGCAGGCAACAAAATGTAGGCAGAAGGTTGTAAATTCTGTCTGTGTGACACTGAAACAGTATTTCCTTTTCAGTTGTGGTCATAAATTTGCAAAAGATTGCGAACAAATCAACTGGACTCTTCACTATGACATCATCTCTTCGGTACATGCCAACAAAGGAAGATGCAAATGCCAAGTTTTCTTGTGTTGTGACATATTACGGACCATCTGGCCAGAAAACAATACAGTCTGAACCAGTTGTCTTCGATGTTCACTGTAAGTTATTAAAAAGCATCTATTGCTGTACAAAGTCCACCTTGGGGGGAAAAGGCAAAATCAGAGATAGCTTACAAAATTACAGAGACAGCTTACAAAATTACAGAGACATTGCTGCTTGGTTGTTGAGATGGTTTCTCCAGAGCTGGTGAGCAACAAGAAGGTCCAAGCACATTGTCTGTAATTTTTACTTATCTTCAGGTTTACCCGAGATAGATTTCTTTCTAACAGTAGAATATTGAATATTGAGATTGCATTGACAAAAGGAAAGTGGCAACCACAAAAAGTTACAGTGAAATGGGCTTTTCAGAACTTTTACAGAAGTTAGAGTGGTTGATTCAAGTGACTTTCTGTGCCCCCTGAAATATGCGATAAATACACAATTTAGTTTTTAGTGTACTCAAATGTTTTTCATTTTTGCAGAGTCAGTGCCAAACAGCTAATGCTGGCAGCCTACCTTGCACAAAATACAGTTGCTTCTCTACAGCTGTAAGATGCTGATTTTTTACATTTAAAATGTAGTGTTTGAATATTGGATATATTGGCAGTACAGAATTTGTATAAGTAATTACTTCCAGCTGGCCAAAGTCTTAAAGCCATTCCCTTACTGTGTTACTGACCAATGTGGAAATCGTTTTTTTTTTTTCTCCTTTGAGTAAAGAAAACGGGCAGTTGGCAAGGAAAGGTCAGAAAGGGTGGTAGCGATTAGAGAAGGTGGAAGGGGCGTTTCAAAGCCTTGTAAAATGACACTTCTGAAGGACTGTACAAGGCAGCAGGTCATAGCAGAATTAAGAGGAACAGGAGATAGGCAAGATGTCCAGTCAGGTGTTATCTTTCTTTACACTTCAGGTAATAACTCGTTTTATAAAAGAAAAGTCCTTGTTCTGTGCATGATGGGGTCTAAGTATACAGTCCAGACATCTAATAGGGCCTTAGTATACACTGTGTAACAACTCTGTAATCCAGTTGAATACAAAGGGAATTAATTAGTAATGCAGATGGGATTTCTGCAGCTAGCAGGTGTGCTCCATTGCCTCGAAAACAAAGTGGTAGGGTATGTTCTACTTAGATGATTAGTTGCTTCTCCTTCACATGTAAAGTTTGTTGAGCAGCAGAATAAGGCATCAGTTTTGAGCAGCTGCTTTGTGGTTTCACCTGGAGAAACCACCGTAAATTAAGGTCACCTTTTCACCAGCTGTTTCTCCAGAATCACAACTGGCAGAACTAATGGAGAAGAAAACCTCTGGGATAGTAATGGTTATCTTTTGAAATAACAGAGAGATTTCAAGCCTGCAGACACCAATCCCATCACTTTAAAGATAGAGATTTTTTTTTAGGTTTTGTTTTTGTTTTAAAGTTGGGTGCCAAATTTCACTGGGTTTTTTTCTGTCATCTGTGGAGCCCTGTGACCATGAATAGTTCATGCTGTGAATGGCAGATGTTCACAGTAATGTCACAGAATTGTAATGACCAGAAAACACTTGTTGCTGTTACTTGCCAAGAGATGATCTGCTGTCCCCATTTCCCCACCGCTTTAATGCATTAAGCTACTTCACCTGGTGAGGATGAGGCTCTTGCAGATTCCTGTGATGACGTAGTCTGTGCACTTGCCATTAGGAAGGAAGTGCGAAGGAAAAAGAAGGCTGCACAGCACTGCAGAATAGTCACTGCACCAGATATCACACACACTCCGTATTAAAGATTTCATATTTGCTAGACTCGCTCTTTTAATCCTGGTCTAGTAACACACAATTTAATTAAGATAGTTCTTCCACCAGAGGTAGGTACTGCCATTGTACTGCTAATTAGCCAACAGTGAGAGGCAGGCACACCCTTCAGTACTGAAGAGGCCTCAAGTATCAACTTACTTTGGCTTTAGAGTATGAGGCTACCCAGTTTCCTTTCTGAGTAGTTTTATTTGCTGTAACTTCAATTACTTACTCAGCTGAAATGCATCTCAAAATGAATTTTTTAAACTCTCTATTAATAGATGTCCAAAGCTTCAACAGATGGATTTCTTGACTGATGTTAGTCGATAATGACATCTGAGTTGTTTTCGTTTTTTAATTTGGTTCAGTGATCCTAATTACTTTCTTTTTCAATAAATGCTATTTTTTATGAGCCAAATGCAGATGAAAAACAATAGCAGACTCCAATTCTAAGAAATGGTATAAGAAATGGAAGTCTTTCTTTCAGCCTTTTTTTTTTTTTTCAGATTGACTGTCAAAACCATCATGGTTTGCATCTCTGAAGCAAGTAGAAAAAAATCATAAAGAACTGCTGTTCATTCTGGTACCTAGGGATTCCTTGCAAGTTACCCATTTATCATAAAGAAATGGGGAGAGCATACTTTGAACTATGCCTGCACAAGATTTTCTTAAATAACTGTTCAATCAGGATTTAAGAAAAGTTTTACTGTCATTTTTAGCTCTGGGTTAGTACAGCCTCTAGTACTCAAGTGCTTAATAGCTAGTTGACATCCTGGAAGCAGCCAGCCACTGTAACCTGGTATAAGAAGAAGAGTGAATTAGCTCCTGCCGAGGTGGGTGCTAGTTGGAAATGGATAACTTAGCTCAGCCAGCAGCAGTTAATAGTCCTTAACCATGGGCTCTGGTTTGCAGCTGTAGCAAGCAAGGTACTGATAGTAACGTGAGTAATACAAGAGAACTACTGGAGCTGAACGGTTAGATGGTATCTCAGATATCTAAATTATCCAGGCTCCAGTTGTGTTGGGCTCTGCTCAGCGTTAATCAGTGTAAAAAGATACCAGGCAAATTTTCCAATTATACCCTGTTGTTAAGTGTCTGTCTTGTTATGGATAAACTCCTTCACATAACAGGTTAGACTCAAAGGCACTTTATAATCACGCTGCTTCCAGCATTGGTATTTTTCTTGAAATTATGCAGAATGATGTCAGTTGTGGCCATGGCAGGTCTGGGATAGAAGCATTCATTTACTAAATAACTGCCTTTTGGTGCTGGCTCCCAGAGTTTTGTTCTTGCAGAAAGCAGATACAAAGTCTCAGGTTTACAAAAGCACAAGGTATAATGGGCCAGGCCCGGGATACGTACCACTGAGCGGCAATATGTACCTTCAGCCAGGTTGCTCCTGTTTATTAGTGAAAGCAGGGGAGCACATTACTCATGCTAAGCAGCACTCAGCATTGCATTGAACACTGTCTTCCTGTCATCAGGTTGTGTCTTCCTCAGAAGGGTGACCTGTTCAGCTTGGAAAACAACTTACTTAGTCTTTTGCTCTTTACTTCTGTAGATTTATTTTCCTTTTCCAATTTAGAGAATGAAATTAAAAATTTGCTCCTGGTTGATTGCAGTAGGTAGAAGGGTAAGATATTCCTCCAGGAAAGACTGGTAGTTTGCAAGAATGTCGTTCTTGTTTAATCGTGTCCATTTTTAATCCAGTTCTGTTCATCTCTGTTGGAAAACCTGTTCCAAACTAAAGCCATAAAGTCTTTCTCATTATAGTTCATCCCTTTTCAGTATTGAGACAAAGCCTAATCAATTCCAGCATATATCTAAACATCCTTTATGATAACTTTTTCACATACACTTGACAGAAGGAGAGACAAGTTTCTGCAGCAGGCTGGCCTGCCAGACAGCCCCTGAAACTGGGGGTTTTGGCCCAACAGCCCCCAAGAGGCGTGCATGTGATTCCTGGCCCACTACTTCATCACATCTGTTGCATTCCACACCAGCAGCGATGCTGGACTTCCTTTTCCTAAGCAGGCAAAGCTGCGCTTCAGCATTGAAGGTACTGATGGAAGCTGTTAGGACATGGAACGGAGCTGAGGCTGTTGCACCTGAAGGAGGGAGGATGTGGCTTGTTGAAGCCCGGTTCCCCTCCTTCTATGACGAGGAGTGAGATGCTGTGTTAGGGCCCCCAGCCATCAAGAGGCCTCTTACTGAGAAATCCCATAGCAGAAGATAGACATGATTAATGCCTTAAGGGTCGGAAGGACTGTAGAGCACACGCTTCACTAAACACCCAAAATCAACTGTCAGGCAAGGGTTTCTCTGCCTTGTAGATTTTTTTAGTGTCTAATAAGGTGCACTGTACTGTGTCTTAATGCAAGACTGGGATCTTTGGTAGAATTTTATTTATTCACTGAAATTAAAACAGTCAGAGTTATCTGCCCATATTGTTTTCTTTACTTTTGTTCATTTAACTTTGGTTTTGAAAAATTACACTTAGAAAGAATAGCATCTCTTAAAGTGTGCTCTGTCTTTGCCTTAAAAAACTATCAAAGTAAAATATAAGTTATAGTTCAACTTCACTGAACATGACAGAAGTATGTTACATTTACAGTTCTGTTGACTATGTTAAGGGTCCTATTACATTCACTAAATTCATCTTTCTGAAAGCCTGTTGTGATCAGCATATAGAATAGGCTGAACGTAGTCGCTTAGTTCATATTTCTTTCTTTTTAATGTAAGAAGGCTATTATCTAGTACTAACACAAGGCGTTGAGAGCTTCAGTTGTTTTTCTGAGTGCTGTAGTCCTCCAAACAGCGAGCTTCACAGAGGACAAGTTAATCCCTCATAATGAAATCCCACCATGAAACTGTTCATACTGATCAAGGCTTTTTTACTTTTAAGCGCATGACATGGTTGTAATCGTTATGGTTTCAGTTACAGGTATTTTGTTGAAGAAGAACGAATTTTATATCATATGGCTTCTTTGCACTTACTTCATTGGCAAAAATACAAAAAGTGTGATTATCTTCACTTTTTTTTTTTAAGATGATCTACACTTGCAAATACCTTCACCTGCATGATGATAAAATCTCATACTCTTTGGCCATGAATATCGTATGCATAGTGTTACTGTGTGGTTTTTTGCAGAAGCTATTAAATGTGCACATTACTTTCACAGATCCAACAGAGAAGGTGACTATTCAAGTGCTGCCACAAAGTAGTAACATTAAAGAAGGCGATAACATCACTCTGAAGTGCTCGGGAAATGGCAACCCTCCTCCGCAGGAGTTCCTGTTTTACATTCCAGTAAGTCCTGCCTCGCCGTCACTGCATCGTGAAATGTTCTGTATCGTCCCTTCCTACAGCCATTGCTGCATGTCAGGGTACACGTGATTTTAGAACAAACGAAGGAAGGAATTTGATGCGACTAAAACGGAAGATAGGCATCGACTGTATTGTCAGACTCTGAGAATGCCTCACCTGACTTCGCAAAATATTTGGGAGAAAATCCTCACCTTCCCTCCATGCCATCTGAATTTTTTGGGGGTTTGGACCTTCTAAAAATTGCTAGGCTTCATTTCCCATCATCAGATATTTTGATAAAAAGCAGTTTTGACAAAAGGGGTTTAGCACCTTGAGTAAAATCACCTTATCTGTTGTCATAAAAGCCAAAGATCCAGCAGTGAAAGTACAGGAAATTAATTCAGCTCTTTTTTGGACTTTCACAGATGAATCTCCATGCAATTTTTTTTTCCTTTAGTTAATTAATTGCTTGGTGGCATAATAACACAGGAAAGAACAAGTGTGAGACAGGAGAAAGTGTAGAACAAATCTGTCAAATGTGTAAGGTGCAGATTGAGGAAAAATAAAGGCTTTGATACAATTAGTATTGGTGAAATCCACAGACAGATGTGGCTTTATGTTCTAACAGTCCTAGTTCTGCTTCCTGTCTCCTGCTTCTCTCTCCTATTTTATATCCCTTTTTTTGTTCCTACTGCAGTAGTGAGCAGAGCTGATGTTGAGAAAGGCCAAAAGCAGTGACATGCTTTCAGATATTTCAAAAACTGCACATTGCCCTTTCAACATAATCCTCATCTACTTTGGACTGCTGGCGTGTTTGAATTGCTGAAGAACAGAAAGGGAAACTAGGGGCTGAAGTCCTCTTATCTCAGAACAGCCAGTTAGATTCAGTGAGCCATCCTAGGATCCCACTGCATGCCAGGGAAAAAGTTTATGGTATCTCTCCTAGCTCCACAATCACAGCGAGTGAGCTAAACACCCTGGTTTGCCTTATCTTCAGTCTCCCCGGTACTAGTGCTTTCTCTCAAGGAGAGGTGGAATTGGTGATTTCTTTGGAAGATTTACATGTATCGTAAATCTTTCTGGATTCAGAGATACAAATTAGGGTTTCACTCTGTGCTTCTTTCAGAACTGATCTAAGTCAGTCATTTGTAATCAGGTGAAAACTGGGGAACTGGACAGGTAAAAGGCAACGCTTGCTGGCTAATTCAAAACACCGGTTTCTGTAGATAATCACATATAAGGTAGCGTAGACCCTAACAGGCTCCATACCATGACGTGGATAGAGCTAGGTTTGCTTGTGCTGTTTAAAAATGTGGTACGCTTCATTTCATAATTTTTCCTAAACTGAATGTATCATTTCAGATATAGATTTAGAAATACATTTTTTTGCTGCTGTTCTGCAACACTCATAGACTGTTTCAGTCTTTTATTTCCTTCCCTTTTTCTTTCTACTAAACTTTCAAATTTTGTATTTTAATGTCCTCTTAAAATAAGTTAGTCATTCAGTTAAAAGAGTAAGCTTCTAATTGTAGGTGTTTTTTAAAACTATGGTGTCATGCAGGAAGTAAACCTTAGTGTTATTAATAGGTAACACTTCAGTAATGCGGTGTCTATACATATTTTGGAGTATTTCACCATCCTAATAATAAAAAAAATCCTCAACAAAAATGAATGGTTTTAGCAGGCCCATATACAATAAATGTGGTGTTTTCCATCCACAGGGAGAAACAGAAGGTATAAGAAGTTCAGATACTTACTCAATGACAGATGTGAGACGAAATGCCACAGGAGAATACAAGTGCTCTCTGATCGACAAAAGCATGATGGACTCGACCACCATCACTGTGCACTGTAAGTCATAGCATTTTGTACTCCGAGTTAGGATACAAACCAGTTTTGCACCTTCTAGGATGGCAGTGTCGGGTCTTTCTTCTCTTCTCTTTTTTTTTTTTTCCTTTTTTTTTCTTTTCTTTTTTCCTTTTCTTTTTTATTCTTTTCTTTTTTCTTTTCTTTTATCTTTTTTCTCTTCTTTTTTTTTTTTACTTTTTCTAAAGTATTTCATTTTGAAAACCTTGACTTTCTCAATTCATTGGCTTAGATACAGATTCACTTTATGTAACTTTTGTATAGTATATGATACTCTTGCACTGTCACATACAGTGAAAATTCTGGTATTTTTGGTTTCACTCATGACCATATATATGGCAAATTATTCTGCTGTGGCTGTGCCTTAGAATGTACTCAAACACACAAGCTGGCCCACAGTGGTTGTGCTTCACAGTCAAATTCACAGTAGTCTAATATCCTTTCATCTTACCTCAATGAGGTTAATGTGTAAGGAGTCTGGAGAAGAGACTTGGGAATTCATTATGTTAACATAGGACAAGTTGCTTTTTTTTTTTCCACCTTTTCCAGAATAATGAGAGCTACAGAACTGTGTAAAGTTTCTTTAGCTGGATACTGGGGTATTTATTCACTCTTTATCAGCAGCACTTTAAAAGCTGCCATTGAACTGGTTGAACCATTGAAGCTATGGCTGCTTTTCAGTGGTTGCTTTTAATTTGTTTGGGTGACAAAACAAGAGCAGGAACTCATTCAAACTTTGCTATACTATCACAGGCTGTGAAATGAGACTCAGGCCAATGGTACTAGGTTTCCCCTGGAAACACTGATGGTCTGTAGTCTTCCCAGTAGCATAAATATCTTTAATAGTTTAAAGGTTCAGAGGGACATGATGGATAAAGAAGTTTTAAGATTTCCACAGTAGTTATACTTTACATAAAAAGACACTTCGTGTTTGTATATGTGGGTTTTGTGTTGTGGTGTTTGTTTGTTTTTTCTTGGAAGATGTACAATGCATGCAGGAGATATCTATACATGAATAATTACACTATTCCATTTAATGAATATTTTGCATTTAAGAAGGTCATCTGCTGATTTGCTGCCTACCCCTTCTCTTTGCCAAGAGTCCGGGTATGTAAGACCCGAAGAGAACTAGTGTTGCCACTAGTTGCCCAATATCAAAGGTAGCTCGCTGGTAGTTTGCTGTGGTCTAACTGACTCTTTAATTTTACTGCTGGTGGATTGCATGTCTACTTGTACTTCCATAAATAGTTACTCTAAAGAATGACTTCCTCAGCTCCAAGTTATTTATAACCAGCCAGTTTTCCTTTCTCTGCTATTTTGTCTGCATGTCAGAAGAGCTTAATTACACGAGAGAAGCATGTGTTTTCTTGACAGAAGTCTTTCCAGTGTTGGCAGCTAGTGCAGGTACTCAGAACTCATAGGTACAATCTAGTACCCTGCTGCCTCGCCTCACTTAGGGTTCGTTTTGTTTTTTTTTTCTTAAATACCTCTATCTGCAATAAAGCCTTTGCTTAAGTGAGGCACAGTGGCCTGGAATAGTTCTGTAATTCCAGAAATGCCCAGACCATGCCCTATCTTTAAGTTACTTCAGTGTCTTGCCTTATGCTGGTCTAAAGCATTTCTGCAGCGTGTTTTCTTGGGAGGAGAACTCCCCTGAAAAAGTCATAAAACTCACAGAGGCTTTATAATATCCTCCATCTTTCAATTGCTGACTTTATATTAATTTTCCAGTGTAACTCACTAGTTTTTAGTGCTTTCTCCTTCTAACGTACATATATATTTTTGGTGTTAGAACTTCAGATTATTTTTTTTTATGATGTTTTTTGTCCTTCAAATACAACTTATTAATGCCTCTCAAATCCTACTTTTTCTCCATCTTTTGCTTTATTGCTTACCTTTTCACATATGGATGAATATTCCTGTCTATGCTGTTGCACTGAAAAAAGCCTTCATTCTGAGTCAGGGCTTTTTGTTTCTTCACATCTGATCTTGACACTTTAGATATTTATTTTTTTTATTTTCACTTAAAAAAAACCCAAAACCAAAGACAGGCAATATAATAATTTTAGTTTAAACCTGTGAATCTATTTAAAGTAATTTGTTATATTTCAACTGTAGTGCTTTTTCCCCAAACAGATTTTATTAAGCATTATAATTACACTGGTTCCTTTTAGTGTCTACATAGGGAAAGCTTCTTGCTGGTATGAAAATACATTAGCACATTATAGCCCTTAAATATTTTTGTAGCAAAATATTCTGGCTCAATACCAAACTCTTTTTTTTTTTTTCCAAGATGAATGTATATTATGAGAGTTGTAGGCAGCTGAAAATTGACAGTAAAGCATCTGAGTTACCCATAATGTTTAGGGAAATACTTTATTTATATAAATATATATATATGTATAAATTTGTAAAGCAAGTTGAGAGGGGAAGATCGAGTCTCTTCCTTACCCACAGAACATAAGGGACGAACTGGGCTCCTGCTCCTCAGAGCAGGTGCAGGATCTGTGCAGCAAGGTCCCAGCTTAAAGTCCAGCAGAACTGAGTGCTTGTGGTTGGCACGATTTGTCCCTCAACAAAGGGAGCAACGGATTTATGTTGTGGGTTTGTTGGTTTTTACACTGGGCTGTTCGTTTTCTGGCAGCTCTGTGCCTTGAGTGAGTTTGCCCAGGATGAGATGAGCAAAACTGGCAGGGGCCAGGAAGGAGAAGGGAGGGGACTGTGGCAGAACCTGTTTACAACCACTTATGCTACTCTAGAAGCAGTGCATGAGGTAAGGAAAGCACCTGGCAAGAGAGGACAGGTGGACCTTCCCCTAGCTATGAGGAGGCAGGTGACTTTCCACCCACAGTTGTTTTTCTTTCTCTCTTGCTAGACTTACTTCTGCACATACAACCCAGTACGGAGTAGGGCTCTGGAACTTCCTCTCAGTGATGCTTTCCTTTCTGCTAAAACGTGTTTTCTGGGGAAACAGGTTGGCAAACCTTCCGGTAAATTTTAGAGATTTACCATTTGTGTTTCTCCATAGGGATTTTTTTTGTAGTCTTTTCTTGTGCTTACAGACACATCGAAAATACAAGGGCAATCACCTTTTGAACGTTGCATGGAAAAATATTCTGTTCTCAGTATACTAGGAAAGTTCCTGGTTGTCTGCTAGTATACTTGGGGAGTTCAGACTACAGGCAAGTTCTCTGCATAGTTTTCCCCAGTTGTAGCACAGTATTCCATCAGAGGCCCCCTTTAAATGCTGGGAGCCTGTCCTATATGTTGAATAGAGTTTCGAAACTGAAATGTTTGCTCCAGTCTCCCCCACATTAATTCTATACCTCTCTCACGTGATGTGGTAATACATGCAGAATGTGCCCTTTGCCTCTTCCCTGTGCTACTTGGTATGCAAAGTCAGCGCGGAAATCAATGGAAGGCTTCAAGTGAGACCACATTAAGAGCTAGCATATATTGAAAATGGTGCCTGATGAGAAGTTTGTTTATGAAGAACATTTCAAAGCCAAACGGGAAATGTATGGAAAATTCTTGCAACAAAGTTTTTCTTTCAATGGCAAGGAAAATGAATTTTGACCGTCTTCTGTATGAAAGAAATATTTTCTCCTCATACTTCTGTACCAAGAAAAGATTATTTACCAATGGAGCATATAAGTTAAGAGGTAAAACTATCTACATCACATTTCTTTGTGTACCCTACAGATAAACTGGCAGAATATTAATCCAAATCAAATTGCTCTATGGAGACTTCCTTGAGGGAATCTTGTGCTAAATAGTAGCTTAATTCTATACTTGCCTCATAAATCACCTTACAAGTACTGCTCTGAGCTATGCAGTTCATCTTGCACACTGTAAATTTTCCTGAACTTCTGTAGCAACCGAGACCGCTGTGGGAGAGGGATTGTAGTCTCAGTTATACCACAAAAAAGGTGGGGTGGGGAATGCAGACATGCTACCCGGGAGGAAGACTGTGTTGAAGGATTGCTCTGGGCGCAGTGTCAGTCTTGCCTGAGATGAAGGCCAAAAAATTACTAAGTTTCTGCTTCCTGTGGTGTATGTGAGAGGAACCCCTCCTGTCTGGTCTTCGGTGATCCCTTGGGTTTGAGGTGCTGTCATGCCTCAAGGAACAAAAGGTTTAAGTAGATGTTGAAGGAGGGTCACTGTGAGGGAGAAAAAAAAAAAAAAAAGAATGCTTAGTTTTCTTCTCAGCCACCCCTCTCCTATGGTAGTGTGTACTCAAGAATAACAGAGCAAGAAGAAACACATCACATGCACAATCTGAATCTATATACAAATCCTCTCTGGCTGAGTCTTGTGGGTTTTTTTTAATTATTTTTTTTTATTTTTTTTTGTGGAAGCAATGGTAAGATCTGGAGAATCTTGTTAGTTTGGTTGCATTTACTAGTTTGGGGAGGCAGGGGGAGAAATCTCCATAGGAATACAGAAAAAAAATGCCATTTTATCTCTTTGCTAAGTTCTGTACTTCAGTAAGTTGCTTTACTCATGCACGGATAAACGTACAGTTCTTGTGACCTCTCGGGCTAGGCATTAGACTCGTAATACGGATAATAATACAGACTAATAGCACTGGATGGACCCTAGTTGTTCCCTGAAGTTCTGCCTTTAATTATAATGGTGTTCCCAGGGCAACCACTGAATGAAGCCAGTAGCTAAGTTCACTGTTTTGTTAAGGAAAACTCACTATTTTCCATTTCTCCTACCAACTGTGATTTTGCCTCAAGCTTTTTTTAAACTCTGCTTAAAAGCCAAAAGGATGTCTTGCAGTCCTTTTCCAGCAAGTACTATATTCATGATGAAATCACGCGTGCTTGCCGTTTGAGTCTGTGTGTGTGTGTGCATCTGTGATAGTCATTCGACCAGGCAACTTGGCTCACAAGCAAGGCACTGTGAGAAGGGAAGCAAAATAGAGGTTTAGCTTGGCAAACTCTGCTTTTCTTTCAGTGTAGGATTATTTTATTTTTTTTTAAAGAAATAGATAGCCCGCCAAATCCATATACTAGGAAAAAATCTAAAGCACTGTTTCCTGACCTTTCTGTTACTGGCTCTCACCCTGCCTTGTTTCAAACACGGCTATCACTGACTCTGCAAGTTTTCTGCAGCCAAAACAGGCCAAGCAAAGCTTGGACTCTGAGTTACACAGAAACGGCTCTTCAAGTTACAGATGAAAACAAATAAATCAAAGGGCCTCATATGTGGACCACCAACCCTATAATTCATACCCCTCGCCCCTTTCGTCAGTATCATGTCTCATGCACCCTGTATTGATCGTCCTCATCCTCTCCAGATGCTGAGGATAAAAATCAACTTGTTTTACCGGGTTCAAGAAAGTTCCCCCTGTCCTCCTATCCTCTTCTCCACGCTTAGTGTTTAGGTTAATCTGTCCCTGCCTTCACCAGTCCTCCCATGAAGGTACGTTCCTCCTTGGCCCGTAGCAAGCTACCCTCACAGCAGTCTGTGCTTCCCCTTTCAAGATGCACATAGTGCTATGTGAAGTACTCCTTTAGCTTCTTGTGCCTCCCATCTCATTCTTTCAGCAGTACAAGGTGAAAAAAAAGTATCCATTTGTCTAGTGATTAGTGAATTTTTGCTTTTCCTTTTAGCCTGTAATTACAGTAAAAACATGAATGTTCTGCAGTGCCTGTTTTTGAATAATTCTCTCTGCTCTCTTACTTGTAAAATGGATTTAGATATTTATTGAAGAACTGAAATCTTGAATTTAATGAGTGCAATTAGTCACATTTTCTTTCCTTGGCAAGCCTTTGAAATCGGCCAGGCATTCTGAGATGAACATTTGACAAATGTTCTTTCTACCCCAGATTTGGATTTGCAGCTTACTCCTAGCGGAGAAGTCACAAAACAGATCGGAGAGGCCCTGCCTGTGTCATGCACTATTTCCTCAAGTAGAAATGCAACTGTGTTTTGGATAAAGGTCAGTGATTAATCTACTTCACACTTCATCTGGGTGTTCGCCTCTTCATATTACTGCTGCTACTTCAGTGTTTTGGAAGGAAGGAAGGGTGACATTCATTGGGCTTTTTCAAGAATATTGTTAAAATGAGTCTTACACATAGTACTAAAATGAGAGCTACTGACTCAAGCTGATGACTGAAAATCAGTTAGCGTAATTATCGGCTCAGTTTTCAAATGGAGAGAAGTAATGCCTACTGCAAAACAAATGTAACTTTTTTGAAATGGTTTATACAAGGCCCTTTGAGAATCAAAGATCACTCTAAGAAGGAAAGCCCATTTGGAGGAATTTGGATTCATTAATCGTTTTCTCAGACGCCAGCTTGGTCTGGGTTCCAATAAACATAATAAAAGGGCAAGGCAGGCTGAGAGATGGGATGTTAGCAACTGGTGTTCAGTGGCTGGTGAAAAAGGTAGCTATCATAGATGGTGGGTATAAATTAAACCTATACTGCCGGAAACTAAAATTAATGATACCTGATGGTTGTTCGGTAGCATATGTTGATCTCATAAGCCTGGTGCCTAGAAGAGAGTTGTCTGTGTCTCAAACAGCTTGTACCACTCCTGTTTTTGTCTAGCCCACTAGAAAAGCTCAGAACTAACAATTGAACGCCTCTATGCCCTTGATTTGAAAGTGCAGTCTTTCAAGAAGAAGGGAGGTGGCTTTTATAAACCTCCAGTAGTTTCCACTTTTCATGCTGTTATGTTGCTGTCAGCTATTCAAATGTAGTTATTAATGGGGGAACACTTTAAGAGTGAGGCTCTACTGTGCCAAAGCATGTGAAAAATTCTGTTGATAGTGTTCACATTTGTAATTTAGAGGTTAATGTATTCTGAGTTAGAATTCAGAGATCAACTCCTTACTTTATCAGGACAATACCAGAATGCAAACAAGTCCATCATTTTCAAGTCTTCAGTATCAAGATGCTGGAAACTACATCTGCGCAACTACTCTACAGGAGGTTGAAGGGTTACAGAAAAGAAAGACGCTTAAACTTATTGTGGAAGGTAAGGGAGCAGATAGTTAGGATTATTAATTGTCCTTTTCAAACAAAATGGTTAACTGTAATATTGTTCTTGTAGGAAAACCTCAAATCAAAATGACAAAGAAAACCAACACAAATAAAATGTCTAAAACAATTGTCTGCCATGTGGAAGGTTTCCCCAAACCAGCAGTGCAATGGACAGTTACTGGTAGTGGAAGCATCATCAATAAAGCAAGTATCTTCTTATTACTTTATTCACTAAAAGAATATTACTTTATTCACTAAAAGCATAGGAGGTGCGATTTAAAATCAAGTTAGTGCATAGGAGGTGCGATTTAAAATCAAGTAACATTTTCCAGGCAGTGAGACTGAAGAAACTAAGTCTATTTCATTTATCTAAGAGAAGGTTAAGTGGTAGCTGTAGCTGCACGGTACTTACATGGATGATTTCTGATGAGAAGGTCTTTTGAATAGAGCACGGGAAGGCACAGATGATCCACTGGCTACAAGCTGAAGCTGGAAGGAAAAAGAAAAGGTTACAAATGAAATATGCATTATTAAGTAACGGTACTTAGTCATTTTATCTGGGTATTGTGGTAATTTTGCCCTTGCGTAAAGAATTTACAAATAACGATGGAACCATAGAACTTACATTAGAAAGCAAATGGGTTCTTGATGTAGCCATTAGCTGGGTGAAATGTAATGAAATATGGCAAGTACAAGTCAGAAAATACCATCAATACAGTTCCTTATGGGCTCTGCAGTTTTTATCCTAATTTTTACAGTTGTTTTTGTATGGTTATATTTGTTGTTTCTGACTGGAAACAAAACCATCATGCAGTCATCTTGGGGGAGAAATAAGGAGTACCCATATGCAGTGGGAAGAATACCTGGAAAATAAGCAAATTGAAGTATTTTCATATTGATTACCAAGTCACATGCAAAGCATTGCCCCATTTTGCCTTAGCAGGGAAAATAAATGAGACATCTATACAAGCAATCAGAGACTGGAAGTACAATGTACAGCGCTCCTGTAGATTTCATTACTCCATTAGGTTTTGCTTTAATCCTACAGAAATTATGTATAGCTGTCAAAATTTGGCCATTTACTTGAAGTTATAGGGTAGGAATTTTCTTGAAGCTATATAAATGATTGAAAATAATTTTTTCTGGACATTGTATTAATCTAAGAATGATGTACAGCAAATTTAAGGAACGACTTCACTCACTATTACAGTACAGATACTGCAGGTACGTCGAAATAAATGTAGCTTGGCAAAATAATGCTGAGTGTGGAAACAGCTTGGAATGCCAGAAAGTGGAAAACTTATAGTGATTATTTTCCTTATAAAGACGTAAATGAAAAACAAGATGGAAATAAATAAGAATTTAGAAGTTTCTTTTGGGATTTTCTTTAAGAATTTTGTCACTTGGAATATTTTTTAAATAGTTGAAAGAAACAAAAGCAAATACAGGTTGTCGTTAACCTTCTAAAAAATGCCTCTTTATCAGTGGGCTTACAGTGCACACTATACAAAATGTAGCTATAACTGGATATCTTGGCCAAAGCGTTTTCTTGCAAATATTCACATTACCATTTAATAAAATAATGCATTATTTCTATTGTTACTGTTTGGGAAACTGAAATATTAGTTGAAAGTTATTTCCCTCTGAACATTTTCAATGTGTAATACAGGTAATGCCTGTATTGTTTTTCACGTTTTTCAAGGGCACTAATCTTCATTTTTTACTTTTCAGACAGAGGAGACCAAATATGTTAATGGAAAATTTTCCAGTAAAATTGTAATTGCTCCCGAGGAAAATGTGACTTTAACTTGCATTGCAGAAAACCAGCTAGAAAGGACTGTGACCTCCCTGAATGTCTCTGCTAGTGAGTGTCTTCTAAAGACCACTTCCTTAAAGTTGTAGTTTCACATAAACTACCCGCACTTCACACTCATGTGAAGAGTAGGTCTGCAGATTAATGTTGATACTAAGATATTTAACCTTTTTGTCTTAAGTCAAGCAATTGTAAATGCAGTCTGGATTAGTAGTACATAAAATTTATTGATAACTTTCTGTTCAAAGTCACTTAGTCTTCATGACTTTCTTCGCTAGGTATCTCATGTGTGCGATACTTTTGCAAATATTATTTCAAAATAATATAACATAATAGTACTAAAATATTGTAAAATAATACATTATTTACAAAGACAAAAGTATTTATTTATTACTAAATTGGCATAGTCTTTTAGTCCCCAAATTCCAGTTTATTAGGACTGGTATGACTTGATTCAGAACACAAATCAGCCATGCTGGGCTTTAATTAAATGTCATTTTTCAATGATGAAAGGTGGTGAGAAGCTACAATTTGTGTAAGGATAGCACAGCAATATTCACTCAGAAATATTTCTGAGATTAATATTACAGGTTTTGAATAAGATTCTTCAGTTAGATATGTTATACTTACAAAGGAAAGACTTCTGCTTAAAGATAAAATTAAATACCTTGTTGTTTGGCAAACTGCATTAAATTTCAGTGTTTCTGTCATTGCTGTAAATAGGCAATTAAAGGTGATGTTCCGGTATAACACATTTTGTCTTTAATTTAATTTCAACATTTTTCATTTCAGTAAGTATTCCAGAATATGATGAGCCAGAGGATAGAAATGGTAGGTATGGTTTTCTATCTCCATAACAATTTCTGTTGATTGTCTCAGGTCAAGACCTATGTAGCGTCACTGAACAATTTCCGCAGTCCTTCAAAGTTGGACTTGATTTGCAATAGTTGCTGCCATGATTGACTAAGAATGTGGCTTTCCTGAAGCTTTAAATGTATTTTTAAGAACAATGTCTACTTTTTTTTGTTTAATTTTTACTTTCTGACCCCTTTTCTTGCTTCTGATGGAAATTCTTTAGAAATGGTGTAATGCTTTACTTTATCATAGGTTACCTCATTAACTTTTCTTCTTTACTTCAGATGACAATAGCGAAAAGGTTAATGACCAAGCAAAGCTAATAGTGGGGATTGTAGTCGGTCTGCTGCTGGCTGCTCTGGTTGCAGGTGTTGTCTACTGGCTCTATGTGAAGAAATCAAAGTAAGAATTTATGGAAAACTTGATACTCAATTGAAAAAGAATAATCATCATAAGCGGAAATGTATGTTTACCTGTTTTCCTTCCTGCAGCATTCCAGTAGTCTGAGTGGGGAAAAGTTGTTACAGTAGTTGCATTTAATAGAGAAACGAAACCTCATACCTCTGATCAGCTTGTGCTAATCCTTGATAGGACGCGTTTCCTGGAGGTGGGACTCCAAGACTTTTCATAGATCATGACCTGTAATGAGGTTCTGCTTCCTGACAGCCAAGTCTGTGCCGATTCTTGCATTTAAATATAGTACCTGCTACTTAATTGTGGGATGTTATCTCTGTGTGGCTTTACTGATACAAGAAACTGTCTTCATTTAGAAGTTGGATAGCTCATTTGCTTTAAAAATGCAATACATTACAGAATAAGTCCATCTCAGGGAGAAGAGAGATCCTTAATTCATTTGTTCGTATATACTTTGAGATCTCTGAAATAAAATTGGTAAAGATAGACCTTGTGTTGCTGAAAAACTAGAAGCCATCATCCAAATCAGTATGTTTTCACCATCCTAGGCATAGAACAGGATTTGCCAGTGAGCCCTGCTCGCTTTCAAGTTTCTTTATTATCACGCAGGCTCACTTCACAAAATAAACTGGGTGATCTCAAGAAGTAACCATGTTTCTCCATCCTTTTAAAGATGGCCACGACTGTATGCCATTTGGCCTTGTCCCCATGTATTTGTCTCCAGGGAGAACTGAGGGCAGGCTTGCTCTCTGAAGCGTGCCTTAGAGCTGCTCCTTAACAGGGAAGATTAAAGTAGTTATGCATAACATGCACAAATCAGTACAGGTATAGAAGCAATCTTAAAGTTCAGTTGTTCTTTCTAGGACCTTTCATTAAAATTAAATCAAACGAGATCTAAAATATACCAGTGGGATTTTACTATCAACAAATGTGTTTTCATTGATGTGAAAGTACAACAAGGAATTCTCTGTCTGCTTGCAAATGTTCCTTTTTGGATAATGCATAAGGATTTTACTCCAGCCATAACTGAGCAGGTTTTGGAATTTTATCAAATAAAGAATTTTTATAAATTACCCAAGCACAGAACCACATTTAGATACTATACAGGAAAAAAAATATATTTTTTGCAAACCTTATGCATCTTTTGGTAGTACTAATAATGCTGAGCTCATCCTCCCACACTTTTCTACTAGTGTAACGTCTAGAATAATTTTCTTTTGTCTTTCTTTTTGAATGTGAAAATGTGGGATCATGAAACTGTGATTCATTGGTTTGGTTTTTTGGAAGAGGTAGTTTGGGTATAAGGAGGGCAGACAAGGTGACATATCTTTTCTTGTAACATTATGTAGTGCAGGGAGACCTAACGAATCTTAGAAGACAGCGTGTCCTTTGCTGAGATGAGTTTATGACTTCAGATAACTTTTTCAGCTTCAAAAATAGGATACAGCATATTCTAAATGGACAACACTACTTTTCTTCATGCTCAACTTCTCTTCTACAAACTTAGAGTAAAAATTAGAGCTAGAATTGATTAGACAGGTTCACCGGGAAGAAAATAAAAATCCCTTTACAGTTAAATAATAGTCTTCCGATTTGATACATGGTTGCTGGCCTCTGAAACCCTTAATTGATGCATCTTCACTGACAATCCCCTGTTCTCAGCATATATTTAAGTTGATGTGTTGTTATCCTCCCTGCTTTCTGCACACCGTACTTGCAAGAGCAAGCAGAGTGTCAGTACCTATTCTGACAAAGTTTTCCGCATGAGTTATAGCCTAGGAATCAAAGTAGACCTTGCAAAAAGCACTTTACACCTTTAGACACAACATGTGTCTACTCACAACCCCTCCATCTCCATACAGGCCGACAGTGTTAGTAGTTATTTTTTGAACCCACCCTTGAACAGTAACTCACCTAATCTCTATCCCCAAAGTGACGCCAAAGGAAAGTCTGAGAAGGCAGCAGCACAGAACTTTCCAAGTCTGCCGAGGCAAGAAAAACATTACTTTTTTTTATTGGTGTTGTGGTTTGTATAATCTTCTATTGTCTTGTCATCCACACTAAGCAGAAATTATACTTGTAGCCTTGGAATATATTCACAATAAATCACTTATATAGTTATTCACTGCCTCAGCTCCACTTGATGCAAAAGCTGATTATTGCCACATATTCTTTTCACTATGAATATTATCCCATAAATCAGGGACTCATCTGTATTCCACATCCTGCAACCAGCCCCCTCTTGAATAAAGAGTTGAGGCTACCTACCCCAGCATGCTATGTTTCTCCTTCATCTGAGCAGAAGGCCAAAGACTTGTTTTCTACCGATTTCTCCTTTTTCCAAAGAGGATATTTTAAACTAATTTGCACAGAACAGAATATAACTTAGCACTTCAGAATCTTTCTAAAATTTTTCTGTCAGACCCCAGTCAAGTGATTTCTAGGATTTCAGGTGATTTCATCGTCAGTAAATCCTTCATACATGAAATTTTCACCTTGCCAGGAACAGCAGAGCACAGCACACATTAAAGGTTTACAAAGAAAATAATGCACCCAGCACCTTGTATAACTGTTCTCTGGGCATGAAAGTTTTGCGTGTGGATTGGACCTTTGTCCCATTTTTGCTCCTTGGGTTTGGAGATGCACAAATCTCAAGTCCCGTGAGGCTGGATCAAGGTTGAAGTGGTTTTAAATGCAGTGAGGGAAAATTCAGCTGGGCAAATTGAAGCACAGCAGCAGTCTGAAGATTTTTCATACTCCCAGCACACCAAACTCTTGAAATTATTCTTAGATCAGAGTAATCAAGAGACTTACTAGTGTCTCGGAACACTTGAAGCATAACAATTCTGCTTTTTTGATACTTTATAGGAAACTAGCATATGAATCCAAATGTGGCAGGCCAAATACGTAGGAAACTTGCCGTATGTTTTGAACAAAACTCAGCATTTATGTTGGTTTGCATGCAATTCCCTTCCAGAGAAAAGGCAGACACAAACATCTCTGAAAGTGTCAGTTCATGTCACAAACCCATAAAAGTGGCACAAATTAAAAAATGGTCACTCGTTTCTTGATGACTGGAATATTTTTCTAACATCTCTGCCATTTTTCCTACTGATGAACATTTGAAAATAATTGGAGGAAGCAGAAGGCAAGATTGGGGTAAACAGAAAGAGATTGCAGATAATCCAGATTTGGACGTATTAGACCATTAGCACCCAGAACTACACTGATGTGTATTCTCTTACCTGTCATTATCGCAAGCTTGGGTAACAAGGACAAAGAGCACTGCAGATTTTCTTCCTTAAAGAGTGTTGAGGGTGAGGTCTAGATTTGTGAGATTAAAAGAAATCAGGAATTAAAATTCAACAACAGTTTCTGGGTCATCTGTATGCAGTCTGTATTTACAGCAGGCAAAATACTTGAGATGGAAAATGGTCTTTATATTAAAAACAATGCTTTAAACAGTGTCTAAATAAAATCCGTGAAAATAACAGCCCCTCAGCACACACACACTCTCTCCAAAGAAAAACTAAAAACCTCACTTTACTTACCGAGGGATTTTGATTAGGATTCCCCGAGGATAATTATTTTGCTGAAGAGCAAGCATAGATAAATGTAAAATATGAGTCATAATTTTAGCAAGAGCTCAGAATGATCCATGTTTTACAAATGAATTTAAAAAAAAAAAAACAGTTGAGAGACAGAAGTAAACTCGTATCTATGCTGAGGTGTGGGCTTTGTTTGTGGAGCTGTAGATCATGTTAAAGTGTGTGAGATGGCCTGGGCAAAGTGGGCTGTCTTGCCCTTTTTGGCAATTCCTCAGGAATATTTCTATCCAGAGTTGTCCAGCTGCTCAGCTATCATCAGGAAGCGGCTCTTGAGTTGCAAATGGAGGAGCCGACAGGAGTTAGTGCACAAAAAAAAAAGTAAGGAGCAACTGTTGTTGAATGCTAAGCTGGCAAAAGACCGTTTGTCCTGTGCCACAGGTCACCTCAGGAAGCGATGGAAACCATGTTTTGAGCCATTTCTCTGTTACAAACCCAGGCCACGTCTGTCGAGCCCTGAGGATTGGTGCTGTGCCAGGGTCGCCCGTTCCTCTGCCATTGGCAGAGCACTGCCAGTGGGTCACACTGCTGCAACTCAGTGCAAAATTACTCTTCTGTCCCTTAATGACACTGATTTAGATACCACTAAAAAAGGCAGCAGTATCGCTTTTGCTGAGGTGGTGAATCTGCTTATAGATACCAGTATTTGGAGAACCAAAGAAAAAAAAAAAAAAAAGAAGAGAAAGTCAGTCAGCAAGATCACCGGACCACCAGAATTAAACTGCTGTATTTCAGTCTCGGGCACTGACAATCTAAATCCATCTGATTGGCAAGCATGAAAAACTACTGCTGCTCTCGTTTCAAGCAAGCAATATATACCATCCTCCAAACGAGTTCTGGATTGCCTGCCTCTTTGTAAGTCATAGAGTGCTGCCTTTTAAATCTCCCATTTTCACCCGTTCTGGCTTTAGGAAAACAGAGGTGACATTTAGTGAGGGGAACAGTTTCACTGAATGCAGAACTAAAACTGAACACTTTAAAAATCAAAACCTGACCGCATTGCAGAATCTCCCAGTCTGAGAGTCAGTTTAGTCGCTGAACAATTTTAACCTAATCAAAGACCAGTAATGCTAGTTCCAGTTCCCTCCACTGTTAAGTGTCGGGTCATGTAAAATCCAGTCTGCTTTGGGCACTGTAAAACACTTCTGATAAGAGGCCAAAAAAAAAAAAGGATCACACTGAGCCATGCCAATAGCCTATCCAGTCCACTCTCTTGTCTCCAAGAGCAGACGTAAGCGGTTAGACGAGGGCAGACGTGCATGATCCTGCTTTCTCACCTCCAACTCATTTCAGCTCAGGTAATTGCTCGAGTCCAGATTCTTTCAGCTGTTAAAAAAACCTTTCCCTACTGTCTCCAATTTTGTAAGACTTATTTATGGAAGAGACTCGTTAGCCACATGACGAGCCAAATGCCGTGCTCTACCTAAAACAAACATATTTTTTTTTTAATTTAAAAAAGAAAGGTTTTTAATTTTTAAGGGATTTGTTTGTTTGGGGGTTCATTTCTTTTTTACTAGGATTAAAGAGATTTGTGAAAGGTTATTAAGACCACAGAAGGTCAATCTCTCCCTAAGCGTTGAATTTCCTTCCCCGTTGCATCTTGCCTTCTGTGCACATCACGTGTTTCAGGTTTTGAATACCAGTTGCTGCAAATTTACCACTGAAGAGCAAGTTACTTTGTGATATAATCTCAGTATTTTAAAAATTAAATTTGCCTGCGATAAGCAGAAGTAAGTGGGATTTTGTCACAGACATCTTCCCGTCAGCCACACAAATATAACGGAGGCAGTCTAAAACCAGCCGCATATGGTAAATGCAGCTTTGAAGCATTAAAACTTACAGCCACTCGGGAAATAATCTACTCTAACCCCCAAAAGATTTTAGAATGGTTCCATTCAGTGCAATCGGTGGGATTTTGGGCCCAGAATCCCATGTTGTCCCCCCAGCCCTCCACCTCACAGGCTGCTCCCCAGCCCAGAGAGCAGCATTTCAGCCACCCTCCCAGGGGTGTCGAAGATGAGGTGCGTTGAGGATGAGGGAAGCTCATCCCCATCAGAAGCTCTTCCCAGACAAGGACCGAACTGGCCTGTCTTCACAGTGCTGTTGAGGGCTGCTTCGGCTCAGGGCACACATCATGCTTAGCCACTGCTCAGATGGAGGATGTGCACAGAAACACTCCACTAGCCAAAATTCAGACACGGTTTTGGGAGGTACATACCTGCATGGTGTCAGCGTGACATGTCCCACTATCTCACTAACCTGTGTCTTCATTGTATTTTGCAAGTCAGTGTCACTGCGGGTCTTTACCCTGAAGCAAGGGTGAGCATATGCATGAGTCCGTCACAACAGACATTACTTTTCTGTAGGGGAAACAAATTATCCATAGAGAAAACGCGTATACGATAATCTGCTTTGACACAAGGGATTTACTTTGTCCCACTCAAACACATTTGCCTATTTACATTTTAAAAATTGTGGCCTTCAAAATGTTATCGCAGCACTGCAGGAATCTTTCACCTTGGCAGACAGTGAGGCTTCTCACACGTTAAATGAATGGCTTAGTGGTTTTATTGTGCTAAGCTAAACTAAGCACTTAACTCATTAATTCATCTCCACTACTTGCATTAAGGAAGACCTGCTATTTTAAATGAGGCATACCTCTTTCCCACCCCCACCCCCTACCCTTCCCGCAAACGTTTACACAATCTCTTCTTCACCCAAAGCTTGTCAGTCATAGCCAGCGCAGATCTGGAAGCCAGAGAAAGGTGGGGTTTTTTTGGTGTTGCTGGAATTTTCATTAATTTCTTTACAGTTAAAGAGCTTCCGTTTGGGACGGGCTCTGAAAGTCAATTACTACAAGTACACGAAAGATTGTTATGTTGATCAAGACATCTTAGCCACACTTGTAACATTTTAGTACGCCTTAAAGCAAACTCTTGTTTACTTGAAACAAGCTACACAGTTAATTCGCCAAGAAACACGGATCTGCACAACTGGTTTAGCCTTACTAAATGTCTGCTGCTAGCTCAGAAAAATTCTGAATTCCTCAAGTAAAACACACATCCACAGCCCTACCGCAATCCTTCCTGCGGTACTAATGCCGGTGGGGGACTGGTGCTGTTGGTCTCTACAGACATATGCAAGCCTATTGCTCAACTCGGAACAGAACTGTAAGAGTTTTATGTAGCACTGATAGGGGAGGAGATGGCGTCATTAACGTGAGGATGGAACAAAATGCTGTAGATGTGCAAAAGTGACCTTGTTTTTTCATTATAGGACAGCATCAAAACACGTAGACAAAGATCTTGGAAATATAGAAGAAAACAAAAAACTAGAAGAAAACAATCATAAATCTGAAACTTAAGAGGAAAAAAAAGTGTCAGTCATCATTCCAGGTAAGCATTTCATATTGCAGCGTTTCACATCTCTGTCCACCGTTTCTCCCTCGCCATCACAGTGGGAGCTTGGGATCTGTTGCTCCGCTTTCCGAGGTTAGGCAGTGGAGTGGTTTTGAGTGGCGTGCTATTGGGGCAGACAGACTCAGCCCCTGGCCAGTTAAGAATTCATACCTGCATACACACAGATTAAAGAAGCCTGACGTTTAGACATAACCTGGCTTTATTTTAATCCACGTACCTGGGGAAATTAAAATACAAATTTGTCTAATATATCACTGTGGTATTACGTGTGTGTGTATGTATATGTATGAAGAGAATGTTTAGGTATAGTCTAGAAGGTTTTGAGTTATGATTTTAAATGTTCACAGGAACCTTCTTCCCTTACTGAGAGCAATAGTTACTAAGTCTTTGGTCAGTTTTAATCATCATCACTGTAAGAGGCATGAATCTTTCCCTAGAACAAAATGATTCTTTTGCTCAAAATTTCTCATACTCATGCTATTATCGATTTTATCCTGGGAAGAGAAACTGTGTATTCAGTTAGTAACAATGCAACAGGTATGAAAGTTTCCCCAACGAGGGTCCACATGAAATAAACTCCATACAAATAATTGGGTAGATGCAGAAGTTCTGTCAGGAATTACAGGAGCACTACAAAGCACCAACAGCACCACCCGGTGTTCACATATATATACACCGCTGCTGCATATATATATGCCACTGTTGTATCTCTCCCCTTAGTAGCCAAAATAAGGGATTTGGCCATTTTTCTGACCAACTGAGGCCATTTTAAATTCACACTGTGGTAGCACAACAGTGCGGAAACCAGCTAACCACGCTGAGGTTTCTTGTGTTCTTCAAAACGAGAATAGTAAGTGTTCAGTGATGGTGCGTTGTGAGTGGAATTATCATATTTCATACTTTGATTTTAAAAGTTTCTTATTTAAGTAAAGACAGCTCTCCTCAATAGTTTCAATATGTTAGCGTTGTCTGAAATTTTGAAGTACAAGGCACTATTTTTGCACTAAATATTCAGAATTCACTAAGTAGAATGATTATATAGTTATAAAGAAACGGAGCATTGCTGTATGCACTTTGGTAGCAATATCACTGGTTTACTAGTTTGAAAGAGGGAATTGGGAATAACAAAATCGAGCCCTGTGAATGATTTAAAAGTGGAAAATAAATTTGGATCTTGAAAAAGTTGCAGTATAAACACCCAGTGTTTCTACTGCAGTTCTGTGGGAAAATTCTATAATCTTTTCGGTTAGGGCCTGTTTTGTTTTGGGGGTTTTTTTCTGCACCTGGTACCTTCTGCAACATTGCAGTATTGAGGTGATCAGATGGAGCTGAAGTTAGCTGGGAGTATTTATTGAACTTGGGGGTTCAAATAACATCGTGTGCCCTCAGCACAATCTTTTACTCTTAATTATACTATTTCTTCAGATCAGTAGACCTACATAAAGGAGAGCTTATCCATAAGTGCATTACTTACCAGGTAAACTTACTGCATTTATCGAGAACAATATTGCAACAGCTATTCTTATCGTGAAAGAAAGTATTCTTGTCATTGAACAGCAGAAGAAAGTACTATTCCTGTAGCTGCTTATTTGAAGGTTAGACACTGAATAGTTATGTTGGTTAACATATTTAAAAATGTTTAACTGGCTTTATCTTTCCTACTTTCAGAGAATACATATAGACCAATTGAAGCATGAACGTGGATTGTATTTAAACATATACAAAGAAGTGACAGCTATTCATGGTTCAAGTATTAAACAGATCATACTACCAAGTTTTCAAAGGATTTTAGACACAATTATCTCAAGCTGAAAAAAACCCACAAACTAATTTTGGCAACAGCCATGATAATAGGTCACCATGTTGTGTTCTGTTTGAAATATTTTTTTGTAAATGTCTGCACTGAAGATTTCTTTTTGTTTGCCTTTATGTAAATTTTTTACGTAGCTATTTTTATACACTGTAAGGCTTTGTTCTGGGAGTTGCTGTTAATCTGATGTATAGTGTAATGGTTTTATTTCAATTGTTTTTATGACACCCTCTGAGCAGGTACATGTCTAATTCTGATTGTTATCAGTGAAGCCTCTGCTTTGTAGCAAGTACCTAGAATGTAAGATTGTCTTAAAGGAAAATGTCAAACTCCTTTTTCATTCTTTGAAATCGCAGTAGAGAGGAAGGGTGACAGCTGTGACAAGAATAAACTAAATTGTTAATAAAAGCGAACATTTAAAAAACCACGCAGCGCTAAGCAGCCAGAAAGGCAATAAAGAGTTTCCACGGAGAAGTCTGGGTATTGAGCAAGGAACACAAGGAGAAATTCCTAGCCTATGTACAGACGGTGGCTAATAATCCTTTTCTTCTAGGGCAAGACACACATCTTATTGATATTTTATCAGTCGACTTTCATGTTAGAATTAGAATAAGGAACTGGAATTCTGGATTAATTTTGATTCCTTTATGTTATCCACTGCCTTAAAGTACTGTACCTTTTTTTCATTTCAAAAAGATACCAGTCAGAATTGGAAACTTTTTTTAAACAGTGGTCATATCAAAGCTGCATTTGTTTTTCCACAAAAATAGAATATATATATATTTTTTGTGTGTTTTTGTTAACTATGCTACAGATATTGAATGCACCTTGAGATAATTTTAGTGTTTTTAACTGGTACCTAATTTATCAAACAGTACATATAATTGTAACAATGAAATGTCTATGTATCTTTAGTTACATTCAAGTTTGTAACTTTATAAACATGTTTTATGCTGGAGGGAATTTTTAGAATGGTACTGATAAGAAAACGTTTTAGCGTAAATGGCCAACAGAAAGTTGGACTTAAGGGAGAGAAGTTTAATCTTATGTGGAAGGTTAGTTTCTGGAAGAAAGTAACTGGCAGCTTTGATGGAGAGGAACAGTAGGGTAAGCAGAACATCAGGTTTCCATTTACAAATATCCAGGGAAAAAGTAAGTTTTTATAGACTGGTAGGCAAAAATAAATAACTAAATAAAAGAAAAAGACGGACGTTAGGAAATGTATTTTGCCACTTTTGCATTATTTAGGGGGAAGAAAACACTGTTTCTTGTAAATTTGTAAAATGTTAAATGTCTGGGCAGTAGTGACTGATGTCTTAATAAAAGCTTCCTGTAGTGCATTGGCATGGATTAAATACATAAGATGTCCTATAAACTCTATGCTGTATAAAATATTAGAGGGAAATCCTGGTATATGCCTCTAAACTTTGATTTGTTACTGTTTTATTTGGCAAAAAGAAAAAAAATTATAATCTTGGTCAATATTTAAACCAAAGTAAAATGGGGGAAAAACCAAAGTAATTTCTTTTGCATGGCTAAGCCATTCTGTTATCTCTGTAAATATTGTGATTTTTTTCTTTTTAGAATTTTGTTAAAAAAATTCTAAAATTTTTAAACACCTGTTTTTCCAAAATAAAACGTGAACACACAAAAAAAGTTACTTTATATACAAATATATCTTTTTCTTTTGGTGCGAGAACACTGCCAAGTGATACACGTTTTTTTAAAAAAAAAAAAACACAGCGCAGTGGGCGTGACTCTAAACAGGAAAAGTTGTAAGAGTCCTGTGAAGGAGTGTGCAAACATCACCTGTCTTTGTTTATAACACTACAAATAGTTCTTAAATACAGAGAAGAAGCCTCCAAAGATCATAAGGGAAAGCATAGGGAAGGGCTGAAAATTTTCATACCACTGTCTGGGGAACACAGGGGAGAGGAGAAGAAAAAAAAAAAAAGTCCTTTAACTTCCACAGCTACGAAAAAGGAATAAAAACAACTCCTCGCCTTTGGGGATTCTGCCAGATCTCCTATGCACTTTAAATCGTCAATCCTGGGAGCCAGGTTTTTCACTGCTCCGCCTTCACTGTAGGCACCTTTCAAGAACCAAGAGCGCAAAAGAATTAATGTTTCTATCCATGCCTAAACAACAATAAAACTGAAGTATGTCTTCACTGGCTTGTCTGAAATCTCCGTTTACGAGAACACGTGTGAACACGAGGGAGGGCACTTACCTGGAGCTCACGCCGCTGCTGACTCTCGTCCTGCAAACGAGCCTCTGTGCAGTCTGGCTGGGACGAAAAGTCCCACGGAAGCCCCGGGGGGTCGGTGTGGGTGTGTGGGCTTTCTTGTGGACCAGAGGGTCATGACCTAGAGAGTATAAGCACTCTGAGAAAAGCACGTGCCCGGTTGGCACATGAAACCTTCCAGAAGTTCATCACGCAGGTCTCTGCTTGTGACCTGGTTAAAAAAAAAACAAAACCAAACAAACCATACCCTAGCAATTAATCTGGCAAATCCGATTTTGTACATCGTGCCAGAGTTCAACTTCATTCAGTTTACTACGCACAGGAAGGGAAAAAAAAAAAATATCCCTGCTCACAAATGGTTTAAAAGCACTGCAAGCGGGAGTGGGAGAGAGCCGACCCTCTTGTTTTAAGGTTGGGAAATTGAAACAGTTTGTGGTGTCTGTTCATGGCTATGCAGGAAACAGCCACTGAGCTTGGAACAAACCAACAGGTTTGTCTGTGTGCTGCAAAGGCAGCATTGAGCGAAAATACCCCACGGGCTTCCCGAGCAGCTAAGCCCCCAGAAGCAATAATGCCAAAACTATAGCTGTACCGTGGTGGATACAAGCCACTATTAAAACACTCTCACAGAAACGTCATAACGGTGCGGCCAGAAGGTGAGGCCGCCTGAAAAAAAACCTAGGTAGTTAGGGTCAACACAACAAAAGGTGGAGCATCGGGGACACTCAGTACTGGTTCTGAGTGCTACAGAAGGGCCTCCGTTCTAGGGATTCGCTGCACCTACAGCTACTGCGCTGCTGGGGCGAGCACCTGGCCAGAGCCTTAACTAGCCTTAAGTGCTACCAGACTGCTTGCCGGTAAAACAACAGTCCTCACCTCATCAGCTGTAGAGTATCAGTGACTTGCCAACATCAACGCAGCACTACAGGTGGTTTAGGCAATATGTTACGCCTTTTCCTGGACAGAGAGTATTCGTTCTGTCAAGTTTTGAAAAACATACGTAATTCATTCTAAATTCTGTATCGATTATTACTTGAACATTACAAGAGACTAACATGAGTTTTATCCATATTGGTATCAGCCCATAGAGACAGACAAAAAAATATTAATAAATGTAAATTTGTTGTCTTTTTTTTTTTCTTCAGGGAACATCCGACAATCACCTAATATCCTCAGCTGCTGGCTGTTGCAGTTAAATCTGATTTACTTGTACTACCACATGTAGCTGGATACCTTCCTGTTGACTTCATGTTTAGACAGCCATATGTATGTAATTATCTCAGCTAAGATTAAGCAGTGACATATGAAATGAGATCATGACCTCCTGTGTCAACCACATCTGTGCAAATGTTTTCTGGGGTTTATTTCTGACAAGAACATGTTGCCATCCAGGTGTCTGTTTCCAAGAATTGCCCAACACAGGTTTTTCCAACAGATTTCTCCTCCAGGCGGAAGAAGATAGAGGGAGCGCAGGAGGTACATAACTTTGAGTTACGTGCGTCTCCTGCTCCCTGAAGGGTTCCCACACTCTTCTGGAAAAGGGCTGGAAGAGGGCAGCATCCTCAAGCTGGCAACATTCCGTGCTGATCGAGGCTGACTTCAGCCTTCCCTCACGATGTACTGCCCGGGAGTGAGCGCACCTCCTCATTACAGCGGGAGGGTAGGAAGGGAGGTGGGACAGGTTGCCCACAAACCAACCGACCGACCCACCACACACCTGTGAGCGTACTTAACTGTGCATGCTTCATGTGTAACACGGCACACATTTAATAACGATTTGCTACATTTCAAATTATTAGGGAATCAGAAACTATGCTTATTGCTTATTATCAAATTATGTCAAAGTCAGTTTTTAAAACTAACTCCATCCACCCAGCCACTCACACTTCCTTAAATGTCCTGTAATTCATACATTTTTCTCATTTACATTCTAAATAGAGACATTTATTCTGTTAGCAGCAAGGCATTCACTTTGATGTAGTAATGAATTTCAGCTTGAAAAGGTAGAGCCTGACAAATTATTAGGAAATTTTGTTTCTTAGTGAGAAAACCGTAATGTACCTCTCTCATCACCCACCCCACCAAATGTTTTTCCTGGTCTTATGTTCCACCTGATGATACAGCTAAGGCTTCCATCATTCTCTGTTCCCCATCCTAGCACGCGTTTTTGCATCTGGTGTTCTGCAGAGACTGATTCTCTGCTGCCCTCACCATCATCTGTTTATTTGTAGGACATTTAGTTCAGAAATGCAAAAGCACCTTGAGATAAATACCAGCAGTTTAACACAACTATAAACATAAAATGGGATGTGAAACAGGAAAAAAAAACCCAAACCACTGTGAAACGGGAAAAAAACAAAACAAACCAAACCAAACCAAAACAGAAACATACTCAGCTTCCCATGCTTGGGCTTCTAGAAATATACTCAGCTTCCCATGCTTGGGCTTCTACATGTTCGTATCCATTGTTCTGGACTCCCCTGGAGTTTCTTCATTTGGGAAAAAATAGCACAAAATCTAATCCACACTGCAAAGGCTCAACTGTAATACCATAACATACACCTATAGCACCAACATGCCTAAGCCTTTTACTCTTTTTTTGTTTTGTTTTGTTTTTTGGCTAACCCTTTTCCTGTCACTTATACAACTAGAAATAAAGTTAAATAAATAACATTAGGAATCTTTGTACTGGAACATCAGCACAAGTATTATGTTTATTTCAGTCCATGTAGTTGTAATGCAAGGATTTATTGCACACTATCCAGCCTTGGACTTGAGAGAGAAGAGGGAAGAAAGTAGTAATATCGTATTGCTCTAAGAAATATCAGATTAAAACTAAATTAAATATAGTCACTTCCACCCATTTACTTTTTCTGGGAAAAAGCAGTCCCGGTTTCAATACAAACCTACATTCAATCTCACTCAGAAAAACTCTCTATATAGTGAAGCTTATATTAAAAGAGGCCAACTACAAATCCAGAACAGGAGCAATGCTTCCCTCAGCTGAAACTCACGTCATCCTAATCCTTTTCTCCCCCTGAGATTCTCACCGGAGCAGTCAGGTAGGTACATCACTGATGACAATTTGTTCTCTCCAGAGCTAGAAAGCAAATACAAATTCAGATTGTGTTGTAAATGTTCAATATTGTCTTACACACCAGATCTGATATTTCATTAATATTTGCATCTGTCACAAGAAGAGCTAGCCTCGCATGGACAACAGAATACATTTAAAAAGGAAGAACATAATTGAATCTAAATTCAGGAAATGAAATGAATTAAAGAATCAAATAAAACCTCATATAGACAAAATATTTCCACAAATTCAATTTCAGTGATGTTGATATAAAAGCTCTCTCTGTTTTTATTACTCCAAATAAAGAAAGATCACACTCATTTCCATGAATTTAAGAAAGTAAGCACACACAACAAACACAACTGACCAAAGTGACTGCACTTACTAAACGGAAAGAAACAGGATACGGAAATCAGATCAGACAGACTTTCTGATAAAATTAGAGTTAGCAAGATTACCAGTGCGTGGAATGAGGTAGTTTCAACTCCATGTGCAATGTCTTTCTAACTCCAACCTGACATACCTTGAGGTACTCCATTGTGTAGGGCAGGTGGGGCTTGCTCCGTGGCTTCTGCATGCTGCTGGGTCCCAGGTTTTCCTAATCCATAATATATCAGGAACAACAGTGGAAAAGCATTAGGGGGGTTTTCACTGAAATTTTTGTACGTATTCTAGGCAAGGGTAAGAAGTGCAAGTTTGGCAACCAAAGCCAGCAGTAGTTAGAAGGTCTTCAGAAAGTAACATTCATGGCCCACCTCCTTTCACACTGCTGCTGCCTGAAATAATCAATTGTTTGGTCCTTCAAAAAAGTGGTGAGGGAGAGAAGGGAAGAGAGAAGTTGCCGGTAAATAGGAGCATAGCTCACGAACTGTTATCATCTTTAGCAACAGCTAAATCATTTCAAAAAGTACAATTATTTTTTTTTTTTTATAAAAAAAAGCAAAGAAAAGAAGCTGAGGAGGGAATATTTGCTGTGATCACTGCCCTCCAAGGACGTAGTCCTTAGACAGGTGCCGTGCTCCATCCTAACGCTATTTCTACTGCTCTCTCTGGAGCATTTATTCAAACATTTGCTCTCTCCTCGTTATATATATGCTTTTCTACATTTACACCAGCTAAAAGGCGCTAATAGCTAT